TCCGCGCTGCTGTCAACGTCAACAGTGCGCACGTTCCGATCAGCTGTTGATAGCGCGACTCGCTGACGACATGTCTGACTGCGAAACTTCTGATGATGAAACCAATTTTAGCACAATGTCAGACGGATCAGATGATGAAAGTAATTTTAGCACAACGACAATGTTATTGATTGCAACACCAAACCTCAATTGTGTGTGTGTTCAATCCAGTGTTAATTTTGACTAGAAATTTTCATTTAGTTTTAGTCTTAGTCTTTTGACTATAATTCTTTTTAGTTTTAGTCATCTGATTTGTTTTAATTTTAGTCTTATTTTAGTCGACTAAAATTGCTTGGTATTTTAGTCGACTAAAATTGCTTGGTATTTTAGTCGACTAAAATAAGACTAAAATCAATATCAGATTTACTAGACAATTTTTTACCGCTGGTATAGGAAACAAACTTAACCAAAATATATAAAACACAAATTTTACTTTATTTCAACACAACTGTGTCTTTATTTCAATTCAAAAGCTTTTATGCAGCAAAAAACACTGTCATGGTAATGTAAACAATAACTAGCTGCCAATTCACCATCAATAAAAGAAAAATAAAGTTAGGTCCAGGACCTTAAAGCGTACAGCTGAGCTGAACAATAAGTGTAAACATCTTTAATTTGAATCTAAAGTGCACTGAACCACATTTTCTTCTTGCTACCACAATGCTGGCAATTCAACCACAGAATACTAACACTTATTTACCTCTATTCATTTTCAAGAAAGCACTTCGTGCTAAAGTGACTTTTGCTCTGTTACGCTTTCCCCTGGTTAGGTCACCTGTGACACTAAAAACTCTCTCTGCAAAAGCTTGCGAAGCCGGCATTGCTAACAGATCTAATGCTAATGGTTTCAAGCTGTGATAAAATGTGTCACATTTCCCAAGCCAAAACTGGATTCCTGAATCACAAGTAATGGGCTGTGAGAGCTCCTCCTTGTACTTGCTTAGTTGCTGCCGGATGCTACATGTGGAGGACTTTGTTTTAGGCTTTGCACGGCATTTGGACAGAAATCTGAAGACTGGCTGCCTTGAGGAGGAGGATGGTGGTCCAGGGTCAGGCTCTGGTCCATTCAGTTCCTCTACATTATCATCAGGGTGAGTCTCTTGACTCTGAGTGCACTGGACCACATACCCCTCTGCCTGCTTAAAAAGTTCCTGAACACTGTCATCAGCCACATCAAGGAGAGTATCACACACAGTAGGGTTGAGAAAGAAAGCAGCTGCAACAAGTGGAGAGAACTTTTCATCTGATGGATCCAATACCCAGGCAAAGCGCTGGTTCAAATTGACTTTCATTTTTCGTGCTAGAGTGGCAAAATCCCGATGATTTGTGTTTTCTTCAAAATCAGTAAGGTGCCTAAGCAAATCTAAGAGGGCAGGGACGATCAGTGACATAGACATCGTGTCACTCTGAAGAGTGTGTGTGTGTTCGGCAAAAGGCAACATTAGTTCATGCAATGAGCTGAGCTTCTGCCACTCACTAGAGAGTAAGTTGTCCCACCCCATCTCATTCGCTATTTCGCAAAGAGGATCTTTAACTTTGAGAAGTCGTGCAATCATGTAATATGTACTTGACCAGCGCGTGGGACAATCATTCACAACAATTAGGCCACACTTATCCAAAATCTTCTGTGTTGCAACAGATGACTTGCGAAAGAGCTTCAAATTGATCGTGCTTTGTCAAGGATTCGCTTCACACTTGCCTCCTTGTTTAGCATGTGGACCACAAGCTGCAGCGTGCGAACCACACATGGCATCCGTTCCATATCCATCTCCATGTTTTGATAGCTACCAAAAAGAAAGTAAATACATATCAGGTAAATGAGGTAATACATTAACTTACTGTCAAATGAAATTATGAATAAAAGTGGCTTACCGATGGTCTTCAATCCCCTCCTCTGAATCACTTTCACCTCGGGGGGACTCCTCTTGATCATCTGAGCTAGCCTCTTCTTCTTCTTGAGTACTGTGTTTAAATGCTGCTACCATAGTGCTACCGTTGTCCGTTATTACAGTCACAATTTTGTCATTTGAAATTCCCCATTCCTGCATGCACTTATCCACGCAGGCCTTAATGGACTGGGCAGTGTGTGGATGGGCAACTTGTTCAAGAGCGAGCAGGATGTGTTCTGGTTTGTTTTGATCAACACAAAAAAAGCAACAACTTATGCCAAGGAATGATGCAGACAGTCCCTTTTTAGTCCATAGGTCAATTCCAATTGACACTTTACGAGCACCACACAGTCGTTTCTTAAACTTTGTCATTTCTTCCTCATAGTGTTTTTCAATCAGATTGCTTATCTTTGTTTTCTTTGGCACTGTCAGCTTCTTATCAAATGTTTCTATCATGAGAATAAAGTCCTCATCTTCTACTGTAGTGAGTGGCAACCCTGAACGTCCAATCCATTTTGCTATAGCCTCCTCTTTTACTTGCTGTTCTCTGGCATTGCTTTTGTACTTTGTAGTACCTAACAGTGCTTCTGCAATGTTTTGATTGGATATTTTTGCCTCTTTTGCGCTTGGTTCACCGCCTTCATCAGGAGACTTCTGTAGCTGTGACATAAAAAAGGAAAATAGTTTAAATACGTTTATATTATTTATTCATTGAAATCACTTTTTTTGCGCAAGCAGTAAATATTAAAGCACTAAACGCAAATAAAAGAGTGAAATAAGTAAATATTTAATAAGTTGGCAGCTAGGTGGATAAAAAAAAATGTAACAAGATTTTATAAGGTTTACAAAACCTGAATAAAAAACCTTTTACAAAATTCCTTTGTCTAGCAATATTGTATGTTTTAAATAACACAATATTAGTGATTATACACACATTATACACACTAATCTACACTAGATTAGTGTATACTGATAGGATGTGAACGGTCACATTTCACATGACTAATCTAGAAAATTTTGTGATAAGTAGAACATTATGAAATATACTAAACATTAGTATTAATCAAATGTATGTAGCATAATTTTACGTAGTCGTATGGTGCTCTCATTTAACTTGAAGAAGGGGCTATTTTACAGTACTTTTCAGTTCGTAATATTTAATACTACAACATTTACGCACTGCAGTCTTCCAATTTTGTTTAGCTCAATAAACAAAAGAACATCATTGTGAATTTACCTTTGAGAAAATGTCCGGGTGGCTCGTCTGTAAATGTCTTTTCAAATTGGTTGTGTTCTTGCCACGAATGACCGCTCCGCATGCTTTACACTTTGTTTTGTTTGTCGTCAAACGTGAAGTGTGCCCACAAGTCTCCCCTTCTTTTTCTCCCAGCTGTGGACATTTTGTTGCTCTTTTAGACATCGTCTCTTCAAATGCCGTCTTCCCGGGAGCTCGGTCAAAGACTGAATACCTTCGCTTCACGTCTCAATAAGTCAGGCTCTGATTGGTTCTCTTCTCATGCAGTCTCGCCTGTTCCGTTTTGCCGATTGGTTCTTTTGTTCATCGATTCCTCGCATCTCTCCTGTCTGCTGATTGGATTTTCGTCACAGTCTATTTTCGTCTCGTCCTTTATTCGTTGACGATATTGTCAATCAATTTAGTCATAGTTTTAGTCTCCATCAATGACTTCTTTTTTAGTTTTCGTTTCGTTTTCGTCCGCAAAAATATATTTGTGACGAAAATAATGACGAAAATATTTAGTCAACGAAATTAACACTGGTTCAATCAAATCGTTTTCTCAGCAAATTGTACCAATATCCCTATAGGCTATACTGTTTTTATATTAGACATCTTTTCACATGTTTTATAATGGAGTCTAAACATCAGCTTGTTTACCGTACAGTTTAGACATGGGATCATAAAGTTAGTAAATAGAGCTTACCCGTGGTACTGGTACAGCAAAACTCTTTAATTTTCCTTTTCCTTCTTGGTTGGGGATGTAATCGTCTTCGCTGAAGTGAGCACTACACACACGAAAATCCTTTATTCTGGATATTTTAACTCCCGCAGAGTAGCCGATGGCAACCAGCCAAAGCTGTCTCATAGTATATATTCGAAACAGGAAAACGATGGAATCTGAACTTTGATCCGGCACATCCTTGTGGTCACAGCCTGGGAATTTACAAGTTCGCACCATTGTTAATTTAATACTTTTTACGTCGTTGTCAATCGATGGTGTGAACACTATGGAACAGCTGATCGAAACGTGCGCACTGTTGACAGCAGCGCGGATTGATAGAAATAGATAGAAAATAGTGCCGATTAAAACTGAGGTATGAATTTTGACCGGCGGGTTTTTTGTCTGGTAAATTAATCAAGCTTTGAAACGCAAATCATTTTTTCACGTAAAAACGCACAGTTTTGTGACCCCGGAAAATAACCGGGAGTACTTTATTGAAAAACTTCCAGCGGCCAGAACTCTGACCAGGGAGTTGACAACAGAGTGGGTCAGTGTGTATGACCTATAGTGCTGGTAAGGATTGCATACAACTTTAAGTCTTAAATGGGCGAACTAACCCTTTAATATCTTGGATATGTTTTTCATTTCTTTTAATGTAATTTTTTCAATGAAAGTGTTATTTTGTGGTGTTAAATATGTTAAAAAACACAGTCAGAAGTCTTGTTTGTTGAATTTCCTGTTGGGTCAAGCTAAAATGTCAATTTATATTACAAGGAAGGAAAAGGTGGAACAGAATGTTCTTAGAAGCTGTTTTTACTAAATTAGTCAAATCAAGGGTTTTAATTGACTATCATTACTACAGATTAATGCATGATATTTTAACTTTTGAAGCAATTTGGTGTTTAAACGGAGTCATTTGTGAAGTTGTTAAAGAAGAGTTATATTTCCCCTTTTAGTTTTTTTTTTTTGAATTGTTCAGTGTTGTATTTATTTATTTTGTTTGGTTTGTGATATGTGAATATTTGTGATAAAAAGGGTTTTCTCTCTCTCTTTCTCTCTCTCTCTCTCTCTCTCTCTCTCTCTCTCTCTCTCTCTCTCTCTCTCTCTAATAAAGGTTAAGCTGCTGTTGTATGACAGATGAAGGTTGTTCTGCTCTGACTTCAGCTCTGAAATCAAACCCATCACACCTGAGAGAGCTGGAGCTGAGCGTGAATAATCTAGGAGACTCTGGAGTGAAAAACCTCAGTGATCTACTGATGAACCCACAATTCAAGCTGGAGAAACTACAGTTAGTATCATTATACTGTACAGCAGTGACAGTGTGATTAAAGATTACTGTTTATTTTATTTTAAGGCAACTGGACTCAAGTCTAATCATTTATAGTATTGTACTTTCTGGTGTTTCTCAATCTGAAGAAAGATTCAGAAATACTATTAGTTAACCGCTTGTTATGTGTATCAGTAGAAAGAGCATTAAAGCATTTGAAACTATGTAGCCATAAAATTGTTTATATACTGAAATCTGACAAATCTTTGCTTTGAAATAATACAGAAGTGATAACAGACTAAAAACAAAGCAACAATTACAGTAAATTATTCTGACAGAGTTACAGTTATACTGGACTAATGGCACTTTTCACTAAATCTTAATTTATTAAGCAGAATGTGTTTGTATTGTTTACAATGTGTATTGTAAACTATGTTGTAAACTACACTTTAAAATTTCTTAAAATAAACTCATTCATGCACAAGATTTTCTGATGTTTAAAATGTGAAATCAGTCCATTTAAATGTTAACTTTTCTATTGTTTCTATATTGATCCTATATATTAATCTACAGTGATAAGTTCAGTTATTTGTGGAGTGAGGACGATCCAGACTTGGATTGTAACTAGTTTCCTCAAATGCTCCTGTCTTGGTTTGTTCACATCATTAAGTTTCCATGATTTTGCTGGTGTATTAGTGACTGTATGGCATTTATTAATGATGCTTTTAACTCACACATGAACTGAACATGGATCTGAGTCATTTTCTCTTTCTGTCTTCAGTCTGAGTGGATGCAGTATTACAGAGAAACAGAGTCTCATCCTGACTTCAGCTCTGAAATCAAACCCATCACACCTGAGAGAGCTGGACCTGAGCTGGAATAATCTAGGAGACTCTGGAGTGAAAAACCTCAGTGATCTACTGATGAACCCACAATTCAAGCTGGAGAAACTACAGTTAGTATCTTTATACTGTACAGCAGTTACAGTGTGATTAAAGTTTACTGTTTATTTTATTTTAAGGCAACTGGACTCAAGTCTAATCATTTATAGTAATGCACTTTCTGGTGTTTCTCAATCTGAAGAAAGATTCAGAAATACTATTAGTTAACCGCTTGTTATGTGTATCAGTATGAAGAGTATTAAAGCATTTGAAACTATGTAGCCATAAAATTGTTTTATATACTGAAATCTGACTAATCTTTGCTTTGAAATAATACAGAAGTTATATAAGACTAAAAACAGCGTAACAATTACAGTAAATTATTCTGACAGAGTTACAGTTATACTGGACTACTGGCACTTTCCACTAAATCTTAATTTATTAAGCAGAATGTGTATGTAAGAAGTAAGGTACTCGAGGCTGTGCTGTATGGTGAATAGGTCACGGCTGAAGGGCGTTGTTAGGCTCGACGCGAAGCGGAGTCAGCCGTGACTTATTCACCATGCAGCACTAGCCTCCAGTACGTAATTGCTTTTATAAAGCGGGTACCACACAATACAAATATTAAACCCGAAAAATATCTATTCATGCAACTTGCATGAAGTAAAATCACTAAAAGCCTTCCTTCCGCTGGAAAAAATAGTCCCTGACCGTAAACAGCAACAGAAGTTACATACATATTTTCTCCATTAGATGAAGACAAAGACTCTTTATGAGTGAGTCAGTCAGTAGTGAAGACTTTTATATTGAAAGGACTCAAACTTGTTAACCCTTAAAGACCTAAACGGCCGCCGGCGGCATAAAAATAACTGTTGTTCTTAAATGTTTAATAACTTTTGAACCACTAATCCAATTTGTATGCTTTAAAAAGTCCCATAAAGAGGAGATTCGCGGCTTTATTTTGGTATCGGGTTCATCGCGATTGGACATTCAGATGCTCCGTAGTGAATGTGATTGCATCATCAAGTTTTGATCAGCATTGATTCGTCAAAGAAACCCATGTGATTTGTTCCTCTGAGCCAAACGAGCAGTTTGTTGATGCTTAGTCCCACCCCCAAGCCCAGATCGGTTGAAACTACATAAATATATATAAAGTCACATTTGCTTCAGTACTCTATTACAATGTTTCTATTTATTTTTCTTCCTGAACTTTTTTGGACACATCTACATTGTAAATAACACCAGATTTTCACTGAAAATCGCCTATAATAATGTTATAATAAATGGCTATAACTTGCTTAGGGATTGTTACATGTAGTAAAATTTTTACCTGGAAATCTAGAATATCCAAGTACAACTTTCTAAAGGAAAAAATCCAAACTTCAGGAGGATTTGTTTGAGCTGAGTAAAAAAAAAAAACCAGAAATCTGCTGCCGTTTTTCTTAAATCTGGGAAATTTATCCATTCTAAGACAAAATAAATGTAAAATTGGTCATTTAAATGAGCTAGATTGAAACATCAAGTTCTCTTGTTTAAAATGATATATGGTACTTGATGCTGACTGCTATAATGGGTTAGAAAAACAAAGAAAAGAGCAGGTGAGTCATGTGCTCCAAAAATGGTCTAGGTCTTTAAGGGTTAACACGGAACTGATAAATGATTAGGGCACGGAAAACCCCTTGACTGTTAAAGGACAAGATATCGCAGCAGACATTCAAACTGATTTTTTATTATGAATATAGGTCTGACCTGAAGGAAAATGCTATATCTACTGTAAATGCAGGAACACTCGCTTACTCGATCTCTCACAATACTCTACTCTATAAGCTTCAGTGAACAATATCAGTGAGATCAAACACGTGTTTACGTTGCTAAGAGTGGTTGCTAGGGGTGTTGTGTAGTGATACATAGAGCCGTTGGGTGAAGCGGTCATACCCGTGTTTATCGTGAATAAAACAGTTATTGACCAATCAGAATCAAGGATTGGAACTAACCGTTTTATAATTAGATTTTCTGAAGATGAAAATGTAAAATCAGTCCATTTAAATGTCAACTTTTCTATTGTTTCTATATTGATCCTATATATTAATCTACAGTGATAAGTTCACTTATTTGTGGAGTGAGGACGATCCAGACTTGGATTGTAACTAGTTTCCTCAAATGCTCCTGTCTTGGTTTGTTCATATCATTAAGTTTCCATGATTTTGCTGGTGTATTAGTGACTGTATGGCATTTATTAATGATGCATTTAACTCACACATGAACTGAACATGGATCTGAGTCATTTTCTCTTTCTGTCTTCAGTCTGAGTGGATGCAGTATTACAGAGAAACAGAGTCTCATCCTGACTTCAGCTCTGAAATCAAACCCATCACACCTGAGAGAGCTGAACCTGAGCGTGAATAATCTAGGAGACTCTGGAGTGAAAAACCTCAGTGATCTACTGATGAACCCACAATTCAAGCTGGAGAAACTACAGTTAGTATCATTATACTGTACATTATTACTGTTTAGTTTATGTTAAGCAGTATCGGCTGGTGAAAAATATCATCAGGTCTTTTAGCGTTGTGGCTCTTCCTCAATCCGTCAAGCATCCACCCTTCACTCATTCAAAACCTCTTAAAAACAATGTTCTCTGAATATTACTCTTCAGCTCAGTCTGTAAATTATACCTTATTATATGTTGTTTGTTTGAATCCCTCTGTTAGTACCTTAAACCTAACTTTGTAAGTGACTCTGTGTATTGTGTGTATTGGGCTTTAATGTTGATGTTGTTGTATTGCTTAACCCAGTGGTCCTCTTAGGAGTGTTTTACCCCTGAGGCTTTTAACCTCCTCCTGCGTACCCCTCTCTGCAGTCACTCCTTCAGTGAGGACAATATTTGCCCCTTAAATCGACATTTCCACTGCATTTTTTACCTTTATAAAATAAATAATGCTTTAAATAAAAAAATCTTCAATAGAGAAATGTAATGATTGTAAAAACAGTTAAAATTAAATCCACCAGTATGTGGCGGCAAGTCCCTGTCTTTATGAGCGAGTCATCGAGTCATTTATTCATCAGTAACGAAGCAAGTGTCTGTAATTATGAATGAATCATTGACTCACGATTTGTTCAAAGCCGCAGATTCGTTCACAAACACTGTTGTGGCTCTCGTTGGAGCTGTTGTTTTGTTGCAAAAAAATACAGACAATACAGTGTTTAAAATGAACATCACTTAATATTAATACCTATTGTTTGTTGAACTTAATATTAATACCTATCGTTTGTTGAACTGAATATTAATACCTATCGTTTGTTGAACTGAATATTACAGTTTTTCTCGATTGCTTAAACACTATAACCAGGCTTTTGAACTAAAATTTCAAAACCATATTGCCATTTATCAAAAAGCACACCCATTTCACTGAACTATGAACACTATTCCCCTGTTTTGACACATTAGTCAGATTTGTTGAACTGTTACAGCAAAACTCTACACACAAATCCCTTCATTTCTCATTGCCTACACCACGTGGTCATTTAGAAAGCACTAGCATTCAATATTGCTCACTCAAGTCAGCACAGCTTCAGCTCAGTTAGCACACAATTACCCAGGTGAAAACACTAAGAGTCAAAATTGAACACACATCAGTCAGATCCTTCAATAGATAGATAAAAGGTTATACAATCTTTTATAAAAGATAAAAATCAGTTTACTGAGTTTAGGAACAATGGATCCACAGAGAAATTAAGCAATAGGTCGAGGAGGAAGAGGAGGAGGAGGAGGAAAAGGAGCAGGAAGAGGAGGAGGGAGAGGAGGAGGAAGAGGAAGAGGAGGAGGAATAGGAGGAGGAAGAGGAGGAGGAATAGGAGGAGGAATAGGAGGAAGAGGAGGAGGAATAGGAGGAAGAGGAGGAGGAGGAGGAGGAAGAGGAGGAGGAGGAGGAGGAGGAGAAGAAGAAGGAGGAGGAAGAGGAGGAGGAGAAGAAGGAGGAGGAGAAGGAGGAGAAGAAGGAGGAGGAGGAGAAGGAGGAGGAGAAGAAGGAGGAGGAGGAGAAGGAGGAGGAGAAGGAGGAGGAGGAAGGGCAAGTGCAAGAAGACAAGCAGTCTCGGATGAAATTCAAGCCACTTTAGTTGGCCATGTCCTTGTCCATGGTATGACTATGAGGGAGGCTGGGCAACAGGGCCTGAAGTTAACTTTTTTGGCCACCAGCCACTGTGGCAGGTGGATATCAAAATTCACCTGCCACAGAGACTTTTTACCAGCCTTTTTTTTTTGCCTCACAGCCTAAAGGTGAAAAACGGGAATTTCACAATATTGTTCTTTAACTTGTACACATTTAAGTGCTGTCAAGTTATTAACGAAATCAATATAAGTAATAATAACTCTTAGAATATACATTTTTTAAAAATCTTTTTATTCATTGATTTTGACACACACACGCATAACAGATCTATAGACCTATCGCAGCTCGTATGTAAACAAATCACCCGCGGCTGTGTCGATGGCTGATTTAGTCACGTAGACAGCTAGGTCCAGACAGCTTTTAGTTACAGCGTTCAGGTACCGTTAAGCAGAACTAAATTACTGGTAAAGTTACCGGGACATGTTCTCACCGGTTCCCAACTCCCAACATGTACTACACATCTGTGCAACTGTCATTGTTCTGGAGCCTATGTCAGCGTTACATTATCTCATCCCATCTCACCAACAGTTTAATACTCGCACATCCAAACAGTCAGAAAAGGTCCTTATCTTCTTTCTGATCGCATAAACGTTACGAAACAAGAGTAGCTGTCATAAATCAGCCGCTCACGAACCTTGCCGTTGTCGCCAATTGACCACTTTGTATTAAAATGTCTTCTTTTACTTTTCTTTGACTCATCCTCATCTTTTTGTTGGTTGTTTGTTTCAGCTGGCCTTTTTACCCCAGTAATGTGCCGCCACATTATAGCTAAGGTCCAACGCAATGAAAATGAAAACGTAAAAAAAAAAACTAATGAATCACTCAATTCTCATTGGCTACCTGCCAATGTGGCAGGTAGATTGACAGTGTTACCCGCCAATAGCAATATTCACCCGCATTTGGCAGGTGGTCGGGTGTTAATTTCAGGCCCTGCTGGGCAACGAGTACAGCCAAACCTGAGTCGCTTCACCGTCGCCTCCATCATCAGAGCCTTCAGGGAGGTGTGGTGGCAAACAAATTTCTATCACTGAATAAGAGACAAACATTTTCAATTGTCTTTGGTGAGGTTTATGTTCTTGCAAGAAAAGGCCAGCAGTCGTACAGTCACACAGAGTGGCTGCAGAGAGTGACAGTGAAGGGAGGGCATCCTTTCTCCTTTATAGTCTTGACTCCCAGAATGTTATCTTTCTAGGCCAATGGTGGTATTTCAACCATATGTGGAGCATTCTTAGACTTGTTCATCATAGAGTGGAGGCATGTACCAACACTCTTTACCATTCCAATACAATTCCATATTTGAATAAGGTTTGTGTGTGCTCTTTTAATGAAGTTCCTAAACGTAAGTTAGGGAGGAGCGAGCCCATCCAATCTTTCAATCAACAAACAGAGTATATAAGCAGCCGCTTACCTCTCCCTAGTATCAGCTGTTCCAGTATCCCTCCACCTCCCCAAACTCCACCTTCATCTTAGGTACCTTGCCCTTTAATTAACAGGTCCTACATTTAGCCACTGGGGGGTATATCAGAGCTCGAGTTGAAGCTGCTTCATCGAGCCCCTCTCCAGCGGACAGCAAGCCAAATAAGTTTAACCTAATATCTTAAAGATTTTATGGGCAAACGAACTCGTTAACTGTCATATGATGCTCACACACATCTTACGTAAGAGTAGGAGAGAGTAAAAAAAAAACCACAAGCAACATGACTTACCAGTTTTGGAAATGTTGTTTTGAATTTATAGCACCAGTGTGTAAGACTATGTTGTAGTGTGTGTATTTTTGAGGGCTTGTGTGTCCTGTCTGAGGGCAAAGTTAGGTTTTTCAGCAAGAGTGAATGGTTTTGAGTGTAGAGCTTCATTTTGACCTGAAAATAGGATGTTTGGGGAATTGGGTGAGACGTTATGGATTTGTGTTTACTGTTTTGAGAATACGAGGCATAGTTTCAAGAAATGTGTTTAAGCAATCGAGAAAAACTGTAATACCTATCGTTTGTTGAACTGAATATTAATACCCATCGTTTGTTGAACTGAATATTAATACCCATCGTTTGTTGAACTGAATATTAATACCCATCGTTTGTTGAACTGAATATTAATACCCATCGTTTGTTGAACTGAATATTAATACCTATCGTTTGTTGAACTGAATATTAATACCTATCGTTTGTTGAACTGAATATTAATACCCATCGTTTGTTGAACTGAATATTAATACCCATCGTTTGTTGAACTGAATATTAATACCTATCGTTTGTTGAACTGAATATTAATACCTATCGTTTGTTGAACTGAATATTAATACCCATCGTTTGTTGAACTGAATATTAATACCTATCGTTTGTTGAACTGAATATTAATACCTATCGTTTGTTGAACTGAATATTAATACCTATCGTTTGTTGAACTGAATATTAATACCTATCGTTTGTTGAACTTAATATTAATACCTATCGTTTGTTGAACTTAATATTAATACCTATCGTTTGTTGAACTGAATATTAATACCTATCGTTTGTTGAACTTAATATTAATACCTATCGTTTGTTGAACTGAATATTAATACCTATCGTTTGTTGAACTTAATATTAATACCTATCGTTTGTTGAACTTAATATTAATACCCATCGTTTGTTGAACTTAATATTAATACCCATCGTTTGTTGAACTGAATATTAATACCTATCGTTTGTTGAACTGAATATTAATACCCATCGTTTGTTGAACTGAATATTAATACCCATCGTTTGTTGAACTGAATATTAATACCCATCGTTTGTTGAACTTAATATTAATACCTATCGTTTGTTGAACTTAATATTAATACCCATCGTTTGTTGAACTGAATATTAATACCTATCGTTTGTTGAACTGAATATTAATACCCATCGTTTGTTGAACTGAATATTAATACCCATCGTTTGTTGAACTGAATATTAATACCCATCGTTTGTTGAACTGAATATTAATACCCATCGTTTGTTGAACTGAATATCAATACCTATCGTTTGTTGAACTGAATATCAATACCCATCGTTTGTTGAACTGAATATTAATACCCATCGTTTGTTGAACTGAATATTAATACCCATCCCTATCGTTTGTTGAACTGAATATTAATACCTATCGTTTGTTGAACTGAATATTAATACCCATCGTTTGTTGAACTGAATATTAATACCCATCGTTTGTTGAACTGAATATTAATACCCATCGTTTGTTGAACTGAATATTAATACCCATCGTTTGTTGAACTGAATATTAATACCTATCGTTTGTTGAACTTAATATTAATACCTATCGTTTGTTGAACTTGAT